CAATCTTGTAAGATTTGGTCCGGGTGTCGTTGATGATCTTATAGTTGTCATCGATTTCTTGTGCCTTCATGAAGGGGTCCATGTTGTGTAGAGAGAACTTCTTTGCGTTGAACTGTGGGATATTCGGAGCCTGAGACTTCATTGCCTTCCTGAAGGCTGCGTCCAAGTTCTCTGGTACTTCCGAGATGGGATCAATTGGCGGTAGAGTGATCGTGTCGACATCATCGTCCTTCATTAGGTACGTGAGTGCTGCATTCTCTTCCTTAGAGGGTGACGCTAAGTCCAGTCCATTAGCCATCCAATATTTTATCTCTGAGTCCGAGAAGATGATACTGCAGTCGTCCTCTGTATCAGGTCCACTGTTATGAGATGGTTGATCGTCCTTCGCTGGGGATCTGCGTGGCGATCGCGTGGTGATCTACGTGGAGATCTGCGTGGAGATGAACCCGTTGAGCTGCGTCTATGGGGCGACCTGCGCGGAGCCCTGGTAGGAGATGAATCCTTTGAGTTGCGTCTATAGGGCGACCTGCGTGGAGACCTGTGCGGAGACCTGCGTGGAGGTGAGCGTCTCTTGGTTCGTGAATGCCTCGTTGAATCCCGTGATGATCTGCGAGATGTTGATGATGTCCTTGAGGCTACGTCTGATGACCTTCGCGAAGGTGAGAGATCTTGATGAGGGTGCGAGTCCCGAGACGTCTCTCTGGTCCTAGGTTTCTTCCTCTGTGAGGTGGGTAGCCTTCGTGAAGGTTCTTCCTCTGCCTCCTCCTCTGAAGACGAGCGTGCCGTCCTGCGCGCAGGCTTGTTCCTGGAGCTAGCTTTGCTGGAGGGCCTCTCCGATGTATCGTCAGTGTTGCCTTCGTGCAGGTCCGAGTCCTCTCTGCGGGTGATGCCTTGAGCATGGGAGCCCTGTGGTTGATGTGATGCTCTTTCCTGCGCGAAGCGCTTCTCCATCATCTCCATTATCTGCTGAGAGAACTGCTGCATGAAGGCCCCGGGGTTGAACGTCTGCGATGATTGAAGAGCTGCCCTCTCTGCGCTGGTAGCAATTTGGTCCAGGGATCGCTCATCTGCCGCCAGTGTAGATGGTACCTCGGACTGCGTAGATAGATCTGCTGACGTTACCTGCTCAGAAGCCTGCTTCTTCCTCTTATGCTGTATCTCAGGGATGATCAGCAGCGGCTCATCATATAATCCTCTCTCTTCCATCGGGACGATCTCGGCCGAAAAGGTCCTTGTAGTCTGCGCAGACGTCCCCGTAGAGTTGCTAGACGTCTTAGGGGCGTGAGGCTTTTTCTGCGTAGAGGAAGGCTTCTTCTTCTTCGTCTGCGTTGAGGAGTTGTCCGATGTAGAAACCCTCTTCTTCGAAGTGGCGGACAACATCCCACGCCCATCCTCCGAGGACATCTCCGGCAGGTCACTTGATGGAAGTAAGTCATCTGACAACGATAGACAGCTCGTGAAGGACTCAACCGGTTTATCCATGACTTGTAAAAGTCGCCTGGATTTGTCGCTAGCACGCCTAAGTACAGAGAATAAATATTTATTAAATTGAATTTTTGTTAAATGCTGACAAAGATTACAGCGAGAGCTGGAAGTACATGTTGTTGTGCAGCTAGGGCACAATAAATGCGGGTCTGCAGCAGAGAACCTAAACCTACAATGAAAACAGGTTTTCATGAAATGTAAACAACTGAACAATCACGTACAAAACCGTGAATAAACAGTCAAATTACGAATAAATTTCAAACCATATTGTTGAAGGATACTCCCTAAACCCCTATAAAGGTAGTATATAGGGTAATAACTAATTAATCAAAGGATATAGTGTCGTATTGGAGAAACAGGTGCTCTCCCAACCGTCCACTAGGGCGAAGAAGGAGAGAGTGAAGAGACGGGTGGCGCCGTTTTCCCGCCAAAACGGCGAGGGAGATAACTCGTGGTGAGTAGTGATTTTACATCTGTTTTATTGAAGGGAGCTTCAATAAGGAGATACAAGTGTTCCACTAACGTTCGGGAAGGAAAGGAGACAAGCAAAAATACATGAGTCAGGATAAGGAAAAATATAAGCTTATGCCAGTATCATGCATATCCATTAGCAGTATGTGTCTCTTATTTCTGGGGCGGTGGGGTAGTCTAGTGGTGAAAGCGTTGGCTCGTCACGCCGAAGACCCGGGTTCGAATCCCCACATGGGTACAACGTGTGAAGCCCATTTCTGGTGTCCCCCGCCGTGATGTTGCTGGAATATTGCTAAAAGCGGCGTAAAGCCAAACTCAGTCAGTCAGTCTCTTATTTCTACAATGCACCTTTACTTTAATACAACAAATTTCAACTGGGGCATATATAATATAATTTTAAACATCAATATACATGATATTTTTTAGTGAATTAAGCATACAACGGGCATATTAGGACATGATAAATATTTTCGGCATTTTTCAAAACACAGATCTGACACTTTCTGTCTATTCTAACATCGCCATATATCTTCTTCCCGTGAGCAAGATGTACATCTGGACTGTGCAAGCGCAGATCGAAATAATTTTAGTGTTACATAAATTAAACATTGCTTTCAACAGAAAATACTCTTTGAAGAAGGTATAAGTTGACAATGTCCTGGATGTGGGTGAACGATTTCAATTGAATCTACATATATTTAGCTGATCCCATAGGGCGATCATGTGCACCTTCAATATTTTAAAACTATCCGGGGATGTTTCGAACTCAGTTAAAAATGACATTTTTTCTTTAATGCATCATAGGATTCACTTTATCTTTCAGGAACATTAAAGAGCATATTATCATTTCTCCTTGACTTTTACCGCTTCTCTCCAAATCGTCAAAAGAGGTTAATCCTTAAGCTGACAAAGTAAGGATGTCAACTGTGTTAGGATTCCACACCCTGCTACAGTCCGTTTGAGTCAGAAACGGACCGATGAATTGCAAATTTTATCATTGTACAAAATTGCCACATAAATATAAATAGTACACATGTTTATCATTTACTAATACCCAACAGCTTTCTTATATTTGAAAATTTTCCGGACTCCACCAAAAAAGTTGTTTAAGAAACTATCATCATAGAAAACGCAAAAGTTGTTATCTGTCGCGGCGGGGTGAAACCGCAGAAACGGAACAGCCACTATCTCGTCGTGCACGGGATACACATGCCTGATGAAAAATGAAGTTGAATGCTGACGTGAAACAGTTGATGATTAAAGTGTACGATTTTTTCCGTGCTGAAGCCGAAAGGGGCAAACCATTTTATGCCATTAATAAAGTCCGTAAGCAGGCAGCAAAAGCTTTAGGAGTATCAGCAAGGGTACTGACAAATGTTCTGGAACACAAACATTGTGAGGGTGATGCGAAGCAGGTAGGGGTCATGTCAAAATCACACAAAGTAAAACATTTGGACAACTTTCAAAAGAACCTTGTAAGGCAGTCCATCAACAAGCTCTATTCTGAAAACAAATACATGTCGCTGAAAATGTTAAAAAATCATTTGGAGCAAGAACACAACCTCAGAGTATCAAAGTACACGCTCTGGTGACTCTTACACTCTTTCGGGTATCGTTATAAGAAAATTTCGGGGGAGAATAGGTCAGTACTCTGTGAACGCCCTGATATCGTTCGCTTGAGAAATAATTTCCTCAGGGTTATAAAGAAGAAGCGCGAGGAAGGGTTCGAGCCAGTGTACTTGGACGAGACCTGGGTCAATGCCTCGCACACTGCCAGCAGTCAGTGGGTACCCGATGGGGGTGATAAGGGGTCACGTAGAAAGCTGCCTCTAGGGAAAGGAGAGAGACTAATCATTCTCCGTGCTGGTTGCTCCAGCAAAGGCTTTCGCCCAGGCTGCGACTTGGTATTCAGGGCAAAGTCCACAGATAACAGAGACTACCATTCCGAGATTAATGGTGCGGTTTTCCTCGATTGGGTTAAAAACAAGTTGGTACCAGCTCTACCAGAGAAGTCTTTTATCGTAATGGACAATGCCCCATACCACAGAGTGCAGGACCCCGACAGTAAAGCCCCGACATCGAACAGTCGAAAAGGTGATATGATATCATGGCTCGACAAATTTCAGATCGCACGGCCTTCAAAGGCAACGAAGCCTCAGCTATATAAGATCATAAAAACCCACAAAGGTGAACCTTTCTACAAAGTTGACAGTTACATAAAAAGTAAGGGTCACGATATTCTGCGACTTCCACCCTATCACTGTGACCTTAACCCCATTGAAATGGTATGGGGTATTGTCACAGGAGATGTTGCCACAACTTTTAGATTACGTGACGTAGAGGTCTTGGTTAAGGAATCCCTTAACAAAATGACGACTGTAACTTGGCAAAACTGGGTAAACAAGGTAGCTATCGTCATTGAACAAGGTTACTGGTCTCGGGATGGCTTACAACAGGCAACTGTGGCACCACTTGTCATCCCTTTAAGTCGTGACTATGACACTACGACAGACGAGGAACCGACAGGTCTCCCGGAATAGATTTTGAGATGTCCCCCGCCATGACTGGCTGTTCCGTTTCTGCGGTTTCACACCTCCGCGACAGATAACAACTTTTGCGTTTTCAATGATGATAGTTTCTTAAACAACTTTTTTGGTGGAGGCCGGAAAATTTTCAAATGTAAGAAAGCTGTTGGGTATTAGTAAATGATAAACATGTGTACTATTTATATTTATGTGGCAATTTTGTACAATGATAAAATTTGCAATTCATCGGTCCGTTTCTGACTCAAACGGACTGTACATGTTTATGATAAATATATTTCAAAAGAGAAGTTGAGATGACTCACTGAAGTCCCCCGTATATGTGTATCACCAGCCAAACTGATCGTATAAACACGAAAAAAGAATGTGGAGATTAATCGGAATTTGCACATTATAACAGTGTTAACTGTTCGTAGGAATGGATATGGGTAAATGCACTTCGTGGATCAATCCAACCACCAAACAATGTGAATGTCGACTGACCATGGTCTTTGCCCCTACCGTGCCGAGACCTTGAGTGAGTGTCTGCCCTCTGTGTGGTCACTGGCCACTGCCATATGACAGGAGACACATTCCCAACTACTGAGGGGGTTGGTGCTCTCGAAGCCAGGGTTCTTGAATATTTCTGCTGCACCTCCCACCATGGACAGGCAGAAGGGCAGGGTAAGCGCTGCTAGACGAACGCACCTCCACATTATACGGATCTGTGACTGGGCACTGACTGACTGACATAATATATAGTCACCAAGAAATGCCAGAGACACGGCCAGAGTGAAATAAGTAGTGCAATCTGATAAGAGTGTTATATAATTTGTTTTCCTGCAGTCACGTGAATCAAGTATGTACAATACGGGAGATACTTCGACAGACAAGACCAAGGTGGGTCAAGTTGTGTAATCTGATATGAGTGTTATATAATTTGTTTTCCTGCAGTCACGTGAATCAAGAAAGTGTACAATAAAAGAAGGAACAAGATGTTTTGGACCTCGGTTGACAACAAAAACCTCCTTTGGTATAAAGTTGAAACGGGCGATTTAAATCTAATCCCTAGTTCCCGGAATCAACACAAATGTTACTGAAAAAGCAGGTTTAGCATTTCCACAATTAAGCCATGTTTTAGTGATCCATTCAAAGTGTTTTCAACACTATTTTGCCTTTGAAGAGAAACACTTTTTGTATGGACCGACAGCTTCTTTATTGCAATAGATAAGACGTTCCTCTTCATCATACCAGCTTCTAAATGCCACTGAAAGAAGATATTTTGCTTTTCACGCGGAGTGGAATCTATTTCGGTTGACTGTTCTCTTAAGTTTTGTCAAACAGCATTGTGTCGAAGTCAGAGGGGCATACGCAAATACTTCGAGTTATCCGAGGTTCGACATAACCCAAAATGATGGCTGAATACGTAATAGGGAGGGATCAAGCTTTCATTTCGAGAAAATACAGGAGTCATATAACTGATGCAGTGGGCCAAGCACTACCAAAGTAAATGCTAGTGCACCACGAACAGGTCCCTAAACAAAAGCATTTCTGTACCTTGCAACAAAACTCCGTCAACGCAATTCTTTGTCTTCTCGATCAATATTGAATGTTATTTAAGATATTTGGTACAATGTGTGAAGCCCATTTCTGGTGTCCCCGCCGTCATATTGCTGGAATATTGTTAAAGGCGGCATAAAACCATATTCATCATCTGAATCTATGAAAGTCCTTATCTAAAAAAACCTTAATAACGAATATGTACTTTTCCACGTCCATGACCCCACGTTCTAAAGGTGTCAACTAAAACCAGGCCTCCATCTGTGACAATTCTGGCTGTGCAGAAACTGTCAACGAGTGTTAAAGTAGACTACACCTGGTGATAGCTTAAACAGTCCCATGGCGATGCACTTTCGCCCAAACAGTCATGTCAGTCAGCACCAGATTTGGATTTCAGATTTATTTCCATACAAAAACGAAAGAAGCGCAGTTACCACATTTTGCTAAATGCTCCTAAACATTCCTACAAAATCTGTATAATGAACCCACCCTACCCAATCGAAGCCCAGCTGACTTAGTCTTCTCTATCGATATTGAACGTTTATACCTACCTTCGGTACCGTAAGATTTGTTTATAGAAAAGGAAACTAGGCACCTATGTATACATATATAAAACATGCTCTTCAGACAAGTAACATCCTTTTCAGTGAATAAACATGTTGACAGACTGACTGACTGACTGAGTTTTGGTTTTACGCCGCGTTTAGCAATATTCCAGCAACATCACGGCGGGGGACACCAGAAATGGGCTTCACACATTGTACCCATGTGGGGATTCGAACCCGGGTATTCGGCGTGACGAGCCAACGCTTTAACCACTAGGCTACCCCACCGCCCCACATGTTGTCAGATACTGTATTGAATACAACTTTACCTCATAACGAGATTACCCTTTTGAATATGTACAACTGTAAAACAGAAAGTCCATACCTCAAACCACCTTGATAAGGAACACGCACTTTTGTATCAACATTTGTTTCTGACTGGTTTCCATACTGTTCAAGGTCTTAAACCCAACATACTCACCGCTATAAAACCCGTGTGCGTCCAATGCAGTAAAACTATAAACCTTCATGTGCTTCCTCACTTATATTATCTTGACAATCTCACAACCTGTAGCCTGTGGTTAATTACGGAGGGTAACACCACTGTATCATGGCTGCAACACTTATTTCTCCTACATGACCTTCCAGACAATTTCATATTGCAAGTATCGATTGTATGTAAAGACTTGCGATCAGGAAATATAGTCTCAACTGTTCTGTTGGGTTTTTATTCAGAATGAATTAACGGAGTGAGTAAATATGGTTTTACGATATTCAAGTATTCCACATAACAAATGGGGGAAAGAGTATCACACATCTGGGAATCAAGCACAAGCCAGCCCTGATATTTAATACGACGGTGACCCTTATGTATGGTGTTCATGTATACTGAAACATTGTTCATGTGGGGGCACCCTTCAGAATTTAGTCACCCTCATCACTAGTCCTAATCTATGAGGGCGGTAAGGTAGCCTAAAGGTTCCAAAGAGAACCATACTCATCATCTGAATATATGAATGAAGCTTGGAGATTTTTTTTTACTATTCCTTCATGTTTCTACAAGTAATAATATGGCAAGTAGATTCCCGGAATAAAGTGAGGTTGGTTTTCTTTAGTCTCATGAATCAAAGGTGCGAGTTTTGACCCACGTTTTAAAATAAAATCTCGTGAGATCTTGACCTTACCTCCTGGCCAACTAAATCTAAATTAACACTTGATCACATCCTCCTGATCTAGTCAAGTTTCCACCAAGACATTTCTAACCAAAGGACTGAAAACAGCATTGCTTGAAAACAATGATTATGTGACACCGTTTGACCTTGAACTTATACATAGGGATCATCCATTTATTGATTCATTCATGACATCACCATCAACATCATGGACAAGATTTCCTGAAATCCCCATTGATGCATTCTTATACGGTGTTCCAAGTACTCTTGTTGATGTTGGCCTTTAGTGTCAGAAATACTTCCAAGCTGGATTTTGAATGAAAACCAGGCATAAAGTCTCTGACTTTAGTGAGCAACGCATTTAGCTGCCACTATTATATAGAACTGCTTCACACCCTGCAAATAATGACTCAAAATGGAATGTTTCACATATTCTTAACACCATTTAAAGTATAATCTGACATATACAGACAAAATATAAATATAACTCCAAATTTGGAATATGTGTTTATTTGTTATTATGATGATACCATGTACAAATATACATCCATTCTGTCAGGCAGAGGCTGTCGATGGAGAAGGCTACACTAAACACACCGGTTCAAGCATCCAATACCATCTGACTACTACACTGTACTGCAACCACAATAGAGATCAGCTGCATTAACCAGATACTGGAAATCATGAAATTAATGCTAATGACACAAGTCAACTGCATTTATTAATGAAGATGTATTTTCTTTGCTAGTTGTCCAAAGGAGAATTACTCACATGAACTTCATGACATATTTTAAGAGTTTGTCTTCTCTTTAATAGATTTCATGATTTACAGTAGATCTACTCCATCCATCATATGGTTCAATGCATGTACGTATGAAAGGATACTATCAACCAGATGGAACTGCATCTACCAGATGATACTGCTTCAACCAGATGATACTGCTTCAACCAGATGAAACCGATTCAACCGGATGAACCTGCATTAACTGGATAGAACTACATCAACCCGGATGGAACAGGATCCAGGATACTGCTTCAACCAGATGAAACCGATTCAACCGGATGAACCTGCATTAACTGGATAGAACTACATCAACCCGGATGGAACAGGATCCAGGATACTGCTTCAACCAGATGAAACCGATTCAACCGGATGAACCTGCATTAACTGGATAGAACTACATCAACCCGGATGGAACAGGATCCAACACATACATCAATATGAAGCTTAAACATCCATAACATGAATCTATAGCATCCACCTTATGGACGAGTTGTAGCATCCTCCATATAAGTCATTACACCCAACTTTAGGGTTCAAACTGCAATAATGTTAGTATTAGTATCTTTCCCAGCCTCCTCCTAAAGCTTATCTGCAAGTTTGAGACAACTCACTAGCTGCCCTGAACATACTCAGTGGTCGAAATGAGAAAAGATTGCTTTTCCATTACACATATCAAGTGACTGTGTCAGTGCAGTACATAAAGGAAAACCAACTTCTATGGATAGTCAACTTCTTTATTGCAATGAGTCTGACGTATCGGTGTAGGTACTAACACTGCAAGTGCTTGATAACGGTGTTAGTACCTACACCGAAACGTCACACTTTTTGCAATAAAGAAGTTGCCTATCCATAGAACTTGGTTTTCCTTCATCTATACAACTTCTAAAATTCCTCTCAAAGAAGTGCAGTACATAGTATAGTAGCAACAAGGTATACCTTGTGGAACCACAAATATAACCTGGTGTATGGCATGGTGTTGTTAGTATAACAATGTGCAGGACTAACTGTCAGGATACTGTCTTACAATATTCTGTACTCCCAGAACATCATCAGGCAACATGTCACTCTGATATTTTGATATGACATAGGCATATTGTTAACAATCAGATGAAATAATGTGCTACAAAAATAATAAATTGCAAAAACTACAAAATACAAGAATGCATTTTCAATACACCAGAGTATGAGGTTATAATCGCTACTGATCATGCTGATGGAGTTAAGTCAAAGGTTTTAGGTGAGCTATAACGTGTTAACTGTAAAAGGAGAAAGTCATGTACAAAGTTCTACAAATTCATGTACTTAAAGTCTTTCCAAATATTGCATAGCATACAAACAACCTCTACTGGATCCCAAACATGAGCTGGAAATACTGTTTGTTCTGTTAAACAGTGGTGACATGCAAGAAAACACACAATGCAGTTTGAAATGTCTAAGTGGGGTCATTTTCACAAAACAATTCGAACAAGAAAAACCCATATTTCAGCAGTAGGCTTACACCAATCATTCTTCTTTATTGCTTAAAGAAACCAGACCTTATTTCGACTGGTACAGGATCTCAGACACAAGCCATCCCAACATAGAGCGTTATTAGTAGTGTATTCAAGCAGCTCACTGAAAACCTTTGAAAATATGTCCACCACAGCTGAACATTGATACAGATCTACAAAAATAATGAAATGAAAACAGCACTTGATGACAACAAACAGATGTTGGCCACAAGTGGACTATGATGTTAAATATGCATAGTAGTCAACATATGATAAATACTACACACAGTTCAATGTTTTCTAAGAAAAAACAATGAGACAACTGAAATGTTTCGACACTTACAGATTTATCGATGATTCCTATTATAAAATGGTGTTACTTGAGTAGAATGGACAAGCTCTTGCTGATATGATTGAAAATGTGAACAAAATATGTATTTGCCCTGGTGAACTCTTCTAAGGATATCAGGAAACACACATAACTTGAAGGCTGCTTGTTGCAATACCCACCAGGGCAGATTAACTATGAAATATTTGGGTGTTCTTAACCTATTTTGAATACTATATGCTATTGAGGTTGCTTGAGCTTCTAGTTACTGGGTAGATAACAAACCTGGGATGACGGACTTCATTGGCACAAGCAAAATACTGGTGTCTTTATAATCACTATATTAGCCATGAGGTGTGGTGGTACTGGTCACTTGGTGACAAGCATGACTGATAAAATTTCAAATGTGTAAAACATACATTATTTCCTGTAAAATGGGCAGATAAACTGACATCGTGAATGGCCATGTCATGCCAAATGCAGTCCACCTGTGTACAACAGAACTCTGTATCCATGCGCATCCAAGAGACTGACAAGGCGATGAGCACGAGATGAGGAAGTTGTCAGAATTATCATGATGCCTGCCTTATGTGATAATAATAATCTGTGTATAAAATAACTGAGGCTGTAAGGAGATTTCAGCATTCTCAAACTATTTCATTTTATTACAAGAAATTAACCTTGTCATCATGGTCCTAAAAATTCTGCAAAATCTGTACAAATAACTGATGACAAAATGAGGATGACATACAGAATGATGACGAAGAGAAATGATATGGAGAAACAAAACCTTTCCTGAAGCAGATCCAACATAAGCTGACAAATCAAACAATATCTTAATAGCAATAATTAAATCTAAAAACCAAGCTCAAGTTGCAAATATAAAAATATATGAGATAGCTTTAATTTGGAAAGCATCAATCATGAAGATATGTAATTGCCTGCAATTACTGTTTGTGACAATGATTTAGTAGTACTGAAAGGCATCACTCAGTACTATTGATAAGTACTAAGGACGTCCTGTGACATGCTGTTGGTTCAGCACCTGTACAGTTCCATCACTTCAGTTAGTGAAGGAGTTTGATCAGATCACTGAAGGATGTACCACCAAAGAGAACTAAGGAGTATTATTGCAAAACATATATTTTCCATTAGCAATGCTCAGTGAATATTCAAAAACATTTAGTCAAAACAAAGATCTTTGATCGTGAGAACGATGAGAACGATCAGCTACATATTTGAAGACAGTAGCTCGAGCATACCTTCGAACACCTAATGAAGAAGCTTGGTCAAAAATGCTCATTAACAGGTAGCATTCACAGGTGCAAGGACCACTTGACAACATGGGGAGTATATATACATAGGATACACAATGGCAGGCTTGGATAATCACAGAAGCCTAAAACACTGATAGTCAACTCTCCACTGTGACACTATCTCAAATCTTTCAACCAAGAGCAATCAAGAACAAACATGACATACATGGATTTCCACCCAGACATTTTTCAGCCAAAATTTTAACATCAAGCTTTTCAGTTCACTTCCAATACAGATGTAAACCCATACAATACATTGCCATTGGGATTCAGTTAACACTCAAACATTTACAGAAATTCTAAGATGCAGTGTCTAGCCAGCATCCATTGGAGTGCCTGAACACCTCATGAGCTGAGTCCTAACTGTGCAATAGCAATAGTGGCATCTGATTAACCATTACAAACCATCCCCCACATTGACACACAGAGCTACAACATTAAGGCACCAATATATTTAAGTAACATCCACAAACTGGTTTTTACAGAATACACTTAAATCTGCATAGATGAATTATTTTGGCTCCTGTGTTGCAGACTACATCCAAGGACACTGACCACTGTCACCACAGATACTGTTTGTGCATAATGCTGTCATCACGCAGTGTTCCAACTAGAAACAGTAGTTGGACACGAACCACTTTCACCATGGAAACCGATCACCATGGTTACTTTGATGTATGATCAGGTCTTCATCTGATGGTCTAACAATGCCCAATGTAGCTAAGCATGGCAAGACAAGACACTTCACAACATCAACACAAGACTTACAGGTCATGCAGCTGTGTTTGTGTAATGTGAAATAGTGAATTTGCTGGATAAAGTTCCATCGGCCATCACTTAATACTTAAAGTACAGAGTCCAAATGTCTAAAACTACATAGTGGAAATGAAAGAGGTTGAGACTATTAAAGTACTAAAGCAAATGTAGGTAATCGGTTAACTGATATGAAGACTGTATCTAATAAATAAGTACTCAGAGTTGGTGGCTATTCTCATGTGTACTGGAGTGAGGGTGTTCATACATACAGTTGCACGCAAGCATCCATTTGAGCATACATGCATTTGCATTGTGCAGGGTTAGCTTTTCAATCCAAAAAATAAACCCTGTGGCTTTTATACACCACACATCAATGGTATTGATAATATTAACAAATGGATACACAAATAATTTGTAAATTATGTACATAATTTGTGTAACTTAGTAGAAAAGCAAAATAGGCACAATATTGGTTATTTGTAGCAATCAAGACAGGTTTTCTTCCACTTGGAACCTAGGTCAGACTTTACAGTTTGTTTTACGTAACTGTTGTGTAGTCATGTCAAGCATTGAATTTAACGTATGCTCCATTGCACAACAGCACCGCCACACATCACACAGTGCCTTAACACACCTGTGCCATCCAGTGTCACAACGAGCACAACCTTCACAGATGTAATACTGTGCCTTATGGAGGGCACCTGCTGATGTCACACGCTGGCTGACTACAGTGTGAAGACATACAGGCTGAACTACTTGTAGACAACCCCTGCTCCTATCCAATTATATCTGGCCACGCCTCTGCATTTGTTAACAGTGAAACCCTGTACACTCCAGCTGGCAATACGTGTAACAAATATCTGCAGGGCACATGCTCACTACTTAATTGTGTTGATGTGTGGGGTATGTACATGTCTTGACGAATGTATCAAGTATAGAAACTTCATCTGGAACAGAACCTGAGCAATGAATTTAAACTTCCACCCAAGATCAAGATGGTTCTGTGAGACAGTTTGGTGGGCCATAATATTGCCATACTTTCGCTCCTGTTTCAATTAAAAAGTAACAAATTTGTATCATAAATAGCCTGTAACCATTTTGATAAATCAAAGAATCTTACAGAATGTTTGTGAGACCTTTCATTAATATTTAGGGAGACAAAGTTTTGTACGTCACATGGAATAAATAATACACTTGGTAGAAATAAGATTGACACAGAGTGTAACAGTCTCATAGAATCAAGTGGAGCATTGTTGGTCATTTGTAGTGTAACTCTACACCCTCACTGATCTCAAGGCATTTAGTTCCTCTAACACCTTGTGAAACGTGGGCCTGTCTTCAGGCTTTAATGCCCATGCTTTCTTCATGATGGTATAGACCTCCGGGGGACAGCACTCAGGGGCTTCCATCCGGTACCCACGCTCTACATGCACCACCACATCAGCTAGAGGCTGAAACAAACAATCACTTGTTATAAGGGGAGGCACTGTCCATGTATTCTATATACTATATATCTATCATCTTAGAACAGCATTTAGACATGATACACATAAAGGCGAGAATTTATCAATGTCAACTTCTTTATTTGAGGAACACAATGTTTCGGAGTATATTCATACTCCTTCATCAGGTGAATGATGACCTGATGAAGGAATATACTCAAAAATTTAAGTGAAATATTCTTGCATTGCAAACAGAATAGTTTGGTGAAAACACTGAAGATTAATGAACATATATATACTTACTATCCTAGGATATGGTACTCTTCCAAATGAGTAAATCTCCCACAGTAGAATGCCAAAACTCCACATGTCAGATTTGTTTGTAAAGGCCTGTAAAAGCAATTGGAAAAATTGTGTCAGCATTCTTTGGAGATGGATAAACTGGACTGTATGGCTTTGTGACAGGTAATATACAGAACATATTTCCTTTCTAGTACTGTATACTCTTGAACATAATGACACCCTCAGGTACAATTGGAAAATTGCTGTTTTGCAAAATGTGCAGTCAAAACTACATCATATTGCTTCAGGTGAACAAACTGGAGATATCAAATTTAGGGGAATCAAAGTGTGAAATTTGCACAACAAAAAAAACATCACAGGACACAATGATCTACAACATTTCCCTTTTATATATATCAAGATAAAGAATAATTTGTATAACTGATTTATAAAACAATCTGGAGTTGGAAAGTCAGCCATACACACATTTTCAAAATTAACAAGTGATTCAGTTAAAAAAATATTACAACTGAGATTTTTTTTAATACATGATAATGTATGAATAACATCTTCTCTACAATTTGCATCTGAAATTATGCTTCAACACTAAGAGACAAAAAACACAGCCAAGTACTCCTTGAAGATTGGAAAAAGGAATTGTCTGCTGCTTCTGACTTACATTGTCCCGTAATGCCTCCGGTGCTGTCCACTTGATCGGGAACTTGCCACCATCAGTGCTAAAGTCTTCAAATTTGGCTAAACCAAAGTCAGAAACCTGTCAAGAGGCATAAACATTGTATATCACTAAACTGTGATCATTAGAGGTGCAACATCATAGCCAGATGTATAATGAGAGTCAACACATGGGCCAAAAACATATAATATCTTGAAAAATGGACCCCATCAACATCACATCAAGGGCATAATGTGAAATATTGAATAAACTGAAACAACAAATGGTTATCATTAAGCAAAATTCTAAGAAAACTACCTCTATAACATCATAGCATAGCAATAATTTCTGTATTTTGGTTGTCATAGTATATATTCCAATCGTGACAGACACTCTGCCTTGTTGTGATGCTATATGATAAGTTCCGTGGAATATAATAAAACACATACACTACACAATGCTGTAAAACATCACTTCTAGACATATTAGGGAGGTGGAAGTGACTTTTCCTGATGGGTAGAGACGGTATTTTCTATGAAGCAGTTCAATAAAATTCATTGTGGGACTTCCATTGATAGCTTGACACTACTAATGCAATAGAGGCACCTTGGGTAATGTGGTACTTGGTTGTTAATGTACCGAGATTTCAAAAGATCAAACAAGGGGCATAACTCTATGAAGCATGGATGATCTATGTTTGTTTTCAAGCTTGATCAATAAAAATATCCCTTAATGATTGCCCACAAGTTAGTGGAACTGTACACCATGTTAATATGTTCATCTACAGTGGTTTCCGGGACATTAGTGGTAATGTACACAGATTTCAAAACATCAAACAAGGGGCATAACTCTGTGAAGCATGAATTATCTCAGTGTTTGTTTTCAAGCTTGATCAATAAAAATATCCCATTATGATATATGCTAAATGTTATCCTTGTATCAAATCAAACAAACAAAATGTTTCTACAGTTAATTGTAAAGGACTTCAGCACATATAGCAGTCTGTAAATAATCGAGTCTGGACTAGAAAAGTCTGTGATTAAATTCATGACAGAAATGTAATACGACACATTACCATGATACATGCACAATGTAATACAACTGGATAATATACATGTCCATAATATGGGTCAATACGTATGAAAACATTAAACTGAACAGAACTGAAACATTTCATTGTGAGGGTTTACTGGAAGTAAAGATCATAGAGGCCTGTTTTGTGAACGTACCTTGGCAGTACCATTATCATGTACGAGGACGCTACGAGCTGCTAGATCCCTGTGCACTAGGTTTTTATTCTCTAGGTAGTCCATAGCCGCAGACGTGTCACTGCAAAAAGAACATCCCTCCAAATGAAGTGATCACCTTTAATCAATCAGATAATGCACTCTTTATCCTGTGAAAATGACCAATTTCACTCACTGTCAAATATTCATTAGTAAATACTGAGCCTAACCATTCAAATTTTAAAAACAAAATCCTACTTAACCACTATTGTTCAAAGTTACAGTCCCAAAAATTAAAATAATAACTGATATAAGTCTGACAACACATGACTTAAAACATAGAAAGCTCTGCTCAGGTGAAAACTAGAAACTTTTCAACTTACGTAGCAAAGTTAATCTGGTCCTTTTTCGTGATGACACTGCGACCACGACTTCGGAGATACTCTACCAAGTTGCCTTTACCCATGAACTCTGTGACAAGGAAGAACTCATCACTGAGGACCACACCAATCAGCTGGACCAGGTTGGTGTGTCGTAGCGACCTGGCAGAAAAAACACAAGGAATTTACCACTACTCTTGTCCGCTGACTGAATTAATCAATTGAGAAATATTGCCAGTGTGTTTGCTAACCGTGCATATTATTTTTCGAGTTAAATGCATCTGCTATTTTGTACTTTATACTGCATGGGTACCTTTCACCTATCTGATGACATCTGTTAGACACAAGGTAGGCCAAAATAGTGGAAATAAGCAAAATATAGAAAACTGAAAAACTTTCAAATCATTAGAAACAAGAAGACAAAGTCATCAATGGTAATATACTCTTCATGATTATGTCTACGAGTTATGATTATGTCAAATATTTAGGTGTGTATATAGAAAAGTGGAAGGAGAGTATTGAAAGGTTTGGTAAGTTCTGCTCCAGAAAGGAGCACTATCACCAATTTCAGTCTAAGTCAAACTTGTTGCCATGGAAACGCCAAAAACATTTTATTCAGAATTCTAAAAGTACCAAAAGGCACCAGTACACCACCAGATCTATCTATGTGCCAAGTTTGGTGAAGAAATATTTAACGGTTTTAGAGTTCTGCTCCGGAAAAGAGCACTACCACCAATTTCAGTCAAAGTAGAACTTGTTGCCATGGAAACGTCAAAAATATTTAATTCAGAATTCCAAAACTACCAAAAGGCACCAGTACACCACCAGATCCATGTATGTGCCAAGTGTGGTGAAGGAATATTGAACGGTTTTAGAGTTCTGCTCCGGAAAAGACAAATGTGCATGGACGGACGGACAGACGCACGCACGGACAGAGTCCATTTAAATATGATGAAAGTATATTGGGACTGCTTGGTTTGGTTTGTTGATTTACGCTGCACACAACAATATTCCAACTATCTGGTGGCGGTCTGTAAATAATCGAGTCTGGACCAGACAATCCAGTGATCAACAGCATAAGCATCAATCTACGCCATTGGGATACGATGACATGTGTCAACCAAGTCAGTAAGCCTGATCATCCGATCCCATTAATCGCCTTACGACAAGCAAGGGTTGCTGAAGACCAATTCTAATACAGGTGTTCATGGGTTATGTTTGACTGCATGCAAGGAGATACCACTACACATACAAAAGACTATGATCGTATATAAATGATGAGATGCACCAACAGGATTTACTGAGGTGTAATATTTTTTATGAAGGAACTTACGTCATGACAGATGCCTCCTTGAGGAAAGTCTGCTCAGCTTTGTCCTTATCTTTCAGTTGTTTGATGGCAACAGGTTGTCCTTTATACATCCCCTTGTATACATCTGTAACACAATAAACCTGTCATACATCCACTTGTATACATCTGTAACACAATGAACCTGTCATACACCCCATCTATACATCTGTAACACAATGAACCTGTCATACATCCCCTTGTTTACATCTGTAACATAATGAACATGTCATACACCCCTTGTATACATCTGTAACACAATGAACCTGTCATACATCCCTTGTTTACATCTGTAACACAATGAACCTGTCATACATCCCTTGTTTACATCTGTAACACAATGAACATGTCATACATCCACTTGTATACATCTGTAACACAATAAACCTGTCATACATCCCCTTGTATACATCTGTAACACAATGAACCTGTCATACACCCCCATTTATACATCTGTAACACAATGAACCTGTCATACACCCCCTTGTATACATTTGTAACACAATGAGCCTGTCATACATCCCCTTGTTTACATCTGTAACACAATGAACACGTCATACACCCCCTTGTATACATCTGTAGCACAATAAACCTGTCATACATCCACTTGTATACATCTGTAACACAATGAACCTGTCATACACCCCCTTGTATACATCTGTAGCACAATAAACCTGTCATACATCCCTTGTATACATCTGTAACACAATGAAACCTATTTACATATCTGTTATATATACAGAACTTTCATATGCTCTTTCACACATCTGTCACATGAAACATTCATTGGTTTCATGGAAATGGAAGATTATGAACATCAAATGCCACAAGTTGAAAGCCAAAGTAGAAAATGTGCCCAATGCTAAATCATACAACTTAAGGTTTCCTTAATTCTGACTATACTCACTTCCAAACTCTCCCTTGCCAATTTTCTCCCACTCTAAGCGATTGTCCATCTTGATGACCCAGCCGCTGGACTGGAAATCCTGTACACTGACTGTCGTAAAACTCTCCCCATCCTTTTTGACTGGGCGCACTAGCCTTGTACAAAGGCCGTCAGCATCAGTCTTGTAATGCTAGCGATACAGGGATTAGAGTTACTATGGTTACAAGATCCAAACAACAGAAGTATGGTCAAGATTCTTCTTAAATTGAGGTTTGTAAGATGCTTGGCATTTCAAGCTGAACACAAACCCATTAAATCAGAGGAATACAGATTGATATTAAATACTGACACTAAAAAACAAATGGGCTAATTAGAAATATATCTGATAAGGAAAATTCTACAGATACTTATGACTGAATGTAGACTTGAAACTTAAGCATGAAAGAGATTTATCATGTTTATTGAAGAGATTATTTGTGGTTATTCTGGGTGAGGGTCTTCAACAGGTCCACAGTGGTATCAGTACAATACACCTACAAGGCATGCAGCATGCTGTCACACTATTATCATGGGAGGACACATATTGCAGGGGTGTGGAAATATCAGGTGTTTTAACTTCTCCTTGGATAACAGTCAAATATCACTGGAATACTGACAAAAATGGTGTCTTGCAAAAACAAAATAGAAGAAAATGTATTTTTGTTGTCTAGTTCCAGTTCATAATGTAATGTAAAACATATAACTTCTAAACCTGTCATACACCCCTTGTATACATCTGTAACCTAACGAATTTATATCTATATTTGTGCTACATGGTATCAAAGAACATGTTCTACAGTCCGTTTGAGACAAAATGATAACTATGAATTGCAATCTAACACAAAAACAAATTGACATAAAAGAATCAAACCAACACAGACTGCAATAAAGACAACAGACAAAATCTTGAAAAAATTGCATAATTTGTGTCACAAAAATATAAAAAGTTGCTTGAGAAACTGTCATCATTTATTTGTGCGTTTTCCAGGTTTGTCACAAGGGCGCAGTGGCAACTAAAGGAACAGCCCGAAAAGCGAGATGCACGTGCATTAGTGACGTCAGAGACGTGTGATTACTGCTGATTGACAAAGTGAATGAAAATGAAAGTCTATTATTTACAAAGTCTATGATTTCTTCAAGGATAAAAATGACAGGGGGTGACCCAAGTATGCAATTACTAAGTACATACAGCACACTGCATGTGGAGCTGGGGTACGTGTCATCTCGCCAGCTCAAAAAATTGTTGAGAACCCATTAACGCACATGCATCTCACTTTTTGCGTTGTTCCTTTAGTTGCCACTGCGCCCTTGTAACCGCACAAATAAATGATGACAGTTTCTTAAACAACTTCTTCATTTTTGTGACATAAATTATTCAGTTCCTTTCTAGAGTTGGTCTGTTGTTTTTATTGCAGTCCGTGTTGGTTTGATTCTTTTATGTCTATTTGTTTTTGTGATAGATTGCAATTCATCGTTATCATTATGTCTCAATGGACTGTAAATGGGATTCAGATCAATCAGAGAATGTTCAAAAGTGGGAGTAAGATCAATCAGAGAGTGTGTTCTAAAAATAGAACTCAGTTAGAACAAGGAAGTAAACAACAACAAAGCTGCCTGTCAGATTGATCAGGAAACAGGATGTTTATGCTCTTTCAAAACTAATTCATTACTTGTTACAGATATTTGATATTGTATACAAAACTGACGAACAGTCTGCTAAATTTATAGGTGGCTAATGTACAACAGAAGCTGATTTTCAGTTTTCCCAATTATTTGAGCCATCACGATTTGATTTTCCACACCCCTCATATCTCCATAGAAGTATTCTCCAAATGCCTGTAATATTAGTGCAGCATCATTCAGAAGTGCACAAAGTACAAAACTACAATTGGTTATCATGCCTACGTCCTTCACACAACAACCATGGTGGTCCATGTGTTCAAGCTGAACATATCAACTCCTTATCTGACTTTTTAGTAACACGCTAACACTTAGTTTACTCACAATGATCATGTATTTATAGCTAGTCAAGATCGGTTCATAATTTCTCAATTTGTTCTGCTACCTGTACTAATTCTGCAAGGTTCCGAAAATACACCTCTTCGTCGACCGTGAGCCTGTTGTTGCGGTATAGAATGCGATAATGTTCCACCTTACTGCCACAACACACACACAGCGTGTAGTCCCCGGGGTAGTTGCTGCTCTCTCGTATAAGGAACAGACCATCTTCCGGGGGACTCAGCAGCCTCTCAGCGTCACCTCGGGATATCTTACCATGAAACCATCTACAAGGAAAGCAGGGGGAGGCATACACAGGGAAGTCACTACAAGGGACTACAGTCATCATTAGAGAATGTTTGTCAGGGAACTTGGCGACAATTCACACTTTCCATAATCTCTCCAAGGTCCTGATCACTACAAGCTATGGCATCAGCAAAGGAAAGTGAAGTATATCTGGGATAACATGAGTGAGTGAGTGAGTTCAGTTTTATGCCGCTTTTAGCAATATTCCAGCAATATGGGGACACCACAAATGGGCTTCACACATTGTACCCATGTGGGGAATCGAACCCGGGTCTTTGGCGTGACGACAGAACACTTTAACTAGGCTACACCACCGCCCCCGGATAAGATGAGATACTAGAAAACACAATTCACAAATCTTCAAACAGGAGGGGCAGAAGGAGACAGCAAGACTCAACCACGGACACCTCCTTAATTTACATTTGATCAGACCTATACAACCATGGTAGCTGAGAATCAATAGAGGATGAGCACAACCTCGACCGAGCCATCAAATTTTTTGACCAAAAATATCTTTCACAAGTTGTTGTTATAGATACTACCCATCATGACAACACATGGACCTACATCATGTGATAATGTGAGCCTTAATTATAGCCCACAATGATCACAGAACTGACAAAGCCAAGACTTATCACTCCTTATAAAGCTTCTGCCGTCAGGCAAATCTGTTTACTATAACATTAATAAGTGGCACCTTAACAAGCAAGAACGTGACATCCTGGTTGTCTGCTCTCATGACAATCTGAGTCACAAGATGCCATGGTTAATATAGACAGATGACAGACTATCAGATTGTAAGGAAGTTCTTGTCTTGCTCCACCTACGTGTGTCTGGTGACAGTTGTAAAACTACCCTTGGCTGATGAGGATGTAATGGATGCAACAGGATGTTGTATTGCACAGACCAGGATAATCTAGCCTGTCAACATACTATCAGTGGAATGTAGGCTGTTTTCCTAACAACTAAGTCACTTTTGAGGAAGATTGATACTGACATTGTAATACGAGCCTGTGACAATGTAAAACAGAGATCACTTGGACCAATGAAGCTCGACTGTGACTGATTCTGTCCCTAGGAGTGAGTGAGTGAGTGAGTGAGTTAAAATTTAAATTCACACTGTCCCTAGGAAGAGGGATCAGATTCAAGGTTACAATTTTGTCAGTTCAGAGCATCACTTAAATGCCATTTAGCAAACCACCAGTCAAACAATGTCATTAAATTTGAAACCATCAACCAAATCAATCCAACAAACTCTCATATAAACAGACATTTAAATGAAGAAAATCAACTTATTTTTGTATTGAAAATGATGCAGTGGAAACAAACATCACAAGAGAAATGAGTGCAATATATCAACTGCAAAACATGGATTCAAATCCAAAAATTCATAACCCAGGAGGTGAAAACCACAGATAATTACAATCACCTTCACGTTGCTGATACAGGATCCCAGTCAATGAAATGATGTCATCAGCAAATGTTTGATCAGCTGACACAAAGATGTTTAGTGTAAGAATAAAGGAGTGAGTAAGCTTTCTGTTATATCATTGACTGCCAGATGAGAGCAGAAAGAAAGACCAACGTGACAAGGTCAACTGTTACCACTTTGCATGGGCCGGCAAACGAAGGGTTATACCGGTAATCAATATGAATCTGGAATTCAAACCCTGAATCTGCCGATCCTGGCACAACTAAGGGATGCAACTCTGCAGAGCAAATTGTGTCACCATAGTCCACAGTAATGAATGAACTGGAAAAGGTTACTTCATGCGCATGTGAGCACATAAACTGCTTTTATCACATACATTCACAAATAGCATAGTGCTGGGAATAGCGAAGAGATGCCAAACATGAATAGCAATCATGGTGATATAGATTAAAACAAGATGCAGATATACAAAGAATGAATTCATCAGCTCCAATCAAAACTAAATCATGTCAACTGGAACAACTTGATATGTTAATATGTATTTCCTTAAAGTGTGAGGAAGTACGACATGTTATAATGTTAATGTTATACCACACACAACACCAGACATGCTCAATCCGTTACACACACTGGTGAAATGCAAAAGCTTGGATTCCATCAAGCATCAAGACATAATTAAGGTAGGTTCATGCCAGGCTATGACAAGAGAAGGCAACCACACAGGGAGGTGCACAGTACATGGTTAGTACCCACAATGCACTGGACAAAATGGTGACTAAGACCAACAACAAACTTCCATATGATTACATGTTCAAACACACATGACCAGGTGCTGTGTACACTAACCTAGGACACTGTGCACACAAAGACAACTCCCTTGCCCCTCTCACACTCCAAGACAAGCAGAAAGTAGGCTGTCCAGAAGCAGACAGAGCTAGCTAGTCCACACCTCATTTCTGACAAGTTATTTCCATAAAATTACACTTGTAAAATAATTAGTCTCACTAGATCATAATTAATCTAACAGACTAGTGGCCATGTCCAACCCTGCTGTCGTTGCACAAGTGTTCACTGACATCTCTGATTTAGAGAATAGTTACAGTGAGTACAGGTTTTCATTGCTTTTAACAATATTCCAGCAATATCATGGCAGGGACACTAGAAATGGTCTTCACACATTGTACCCATGTGGGGAATCGAACTCAGGTCTTCAGCATGACAAGCAGATGCTTTTACCACTTGGCTACCACACTGCCCTTATTTACATATATGTATTCATGGCATTTATGCATTCAGCTCTTTCAGCCACTACTTGTCCCAAACCATGGCCTATAAATATGTCTTTCAGTCTAGTTGGCTTTGCTAAAAGCACTATATAATCTACTTGATATGATGTCAACTGGCAAACTGGTGCCAGTGTTTGTGTATGAGGCATGAAGTACAGAGACAAACCCAGTCTGGATTTACCAACATAGAATTATTTTCTAACACATCTGACGTCACATCATGTCAAAAACCAGATGATTAACTATTCAAATCCCAAGCAAGGGAATGAACCCTAGAGTATATGTGCATTATCCTTCGGCCATATGAAAGTAAAGTTCAACCATGACCATGGGGTTTACTACTTTTGTAGCCATGAAATTCGTCATTCATCTGAGGTGAAATGGGGTTAAACCTCGTACATATGAATTTTTCGTTCACATGACGACGTGCATGCGTGTGTATGTGTATGTGTGGCTGCTTGTACTAGTCCAGATTTAAGCTGGTTTTATAGTGCTAGCCCACTGAGATACCATGCTGCAGTTATGCGTGAATACCCCACTCAGACACATTATACTGACTCCGAGCCGACCAGTCCTTGTTTTACTCATTGATGCTGAGTGCCAGGCTGGGAACAACAAGTACCATATTTTAATACTTTTGGTATGATGCGGCTGGGGATAGAACCCATGACCTTCTACTCTCCAGGCGGATGCTCTAGCCACTACACCACGGAGGCGGTACTCATTGATCTGAGACAGGAGGACATGAAAGTGTGCTAGTCTTAATGGATGAAACCAGCTAGCGACACAGACGTGCTAGTCGCGACAGAGGTTCTGACATATAACAGGGACATGGTTAGTGCTCGTCTTGCTGTGTGAGAGGAAGACAAGGCTACACAAGAGACATCCAAGCTACCTGAACCAACTCTATCAGATTGTGAAATGTGCAATCTCCTCCATCCACTTCCAGTTCTCTGTTACGAGCCAACACCCGATAGTGATCAACTCTCCCCTCATACACTACTGATAACGTGTAGTCGCCATGGTAATGTACACTGTCACGAATCAAAAACACTCCATCCTCCTGAAATTTCAACAGACGTTCTGCCTCTTCCCGTGTCATACGACCATGATACCATCTACAAGAGAACAGTAGACTCAGTGAGGTCAGTTGCTGATATCTTCTACAAGAGAAGATGGCCCCTTTGAACTCTTAATGAAGACCTGCGAGCTGAAACCTCAGAATTTACAAGATGGCAGGCTTGATCAGGCCAACTTCAGGACAAAAGCAGATCGTTGTGATACCCTATCAGGCAAACCATACATTGGTGGAACTTCTGACACCTGTATCTTATATCCATTTGCTCTGTAAGTAGGAATCTCTTCAACAGTGACATCTCTACAATACACGTGGTATAGGGATCAAGGATATGTACCATTACTATTATTAACAGGCCTTGAAACATCAACACCATCTCATGAAACAAAAACATAGGCATTATTACTCCTTCCATCAAAACCCAAGACTAGATAAACATCATTGATTTCAAGGTTCACTTGATACATTTGAAGCTTGTTCAGTGATAACCATAGCAATAAATGTACATCCAATGTATCATTTATCTTGGCAATATTAACTCCCATACTTTAACATAGACTTTAAAAGTAGCACTAAGATCACTTTGTATGATGATAAACAGATGCGACATCTTTAAGGAACAAGGGAATCCCTTTGGTATGAACATGGACAAATTTCTTGACAACAAACACACAAGTTGGCTAGCATCTTATTCATGGCCATGATGACCAGATGAGTTTGTATCTTGTTCAATGTCATACTCAGCAAATAGTCAAGCTATATGACAGCAGCTAATAAAACACCAAGTGTGGATCTGACAAACCAGTGACTTATACTACGAGCAGTGCTGCACAGTATCGGGACATGATGACACATTGTCGACCTGGGCCTAGATTTTTGAAGACTCTAGTCTTAGAGCTAAGATAGTCGTAAGTGCCATACATTAACATTAACTTACGACTATCTTAGCACTAAGAGAGTTTCGAAAATCTAGGCCCAGGTCACCAAACACAACCAACCAAGTCATTTAGTCACCTCATACAAGAAGCTGCTGGGGAACTATTCGTAATCAGAATCAAAACAGCATCAGACAATCCCTACAATAGTAACACCTTGAGAACACAGGTGCTATTTGGATCTGGGAAATAATACCTTTATCATTATTAAAACACCTTTAGCAAGTTGTCAAGAGGCTGCACCAGTAGATATTTCCCAGGCAAACTATCAAGCGCACAATTTATAATAAAACAAATGTGAATACAAATAATAATGGAATTCATTTCAGATTTTTTAATTTTGAGTAATTGAATGACAATTATTCATGTTTCTTTTTCCAGTTAGTTCCTGTAAATGCTGTTCTGATAAGTTATATATGTTGGTTGTACTAGGGTACATACGGCATTGCATGGAGGGGTACGGAGGTGCGGGGCTGTACATATGTGGCTGGGATCATCCCTTCCTTGCCAGTGCTGTCTTTGGCACGATACCAGTTGGGATCCTGCAAACAAACAAAATTGATTAACTCTAAGAATTTCTAAAAAAATTGCACTTTACACTTTTATTCTCATATACTGCATTCCTGCTAACTGTTTTCGACCCTGAGTGTAGGCAAAATCTTGAACATCTATCCTTTACACTCCCTGCCTCAGAACACCTCATCCAAACAATCCATTCATATGCTCATATACACATAGGGCCAGCATGCACAGGGTAACTAACCCATGACCGTCTCCAATCTAGTCAATTTCTTGCTTTTTGCTCCTGAGTGAAGGCTTTGAGTTTCAGAGAGAATATATCATTTCTTCTAGTGTATATGATTCTGAACTTGGCAACTTGCAGTCTTTCTTATTGTTTCTCATATTACAGATCAAATACAAATAACAAACATGAAAACCAACATTTAAACTTTATTATATTTTTACAATCAATGGAAAACAGCAAAATACCCAAATGAGTTTGAGTGAGGTGGGTACAATCTATTTGGTTACTCTAATGAAAATTAGGATGCCCTATTGTGATGAACACAAGCGAGTACATAACTCAATGACCAAAAGAGTTATCTGTAGCTCTGAATACTATCAATCCTCCCACAGGGTAATGGCAAATGTTATTATCATCATACTCACCGCATATGTACTTCCAAGTATAATTCCATTTCAATTTCACCTTTATTTCTTTTTCCTTTCTCAGAAATTATAAGTGTTGCGGCACTTCGGCAGATTATATTATAATCAGTGTAAAAATTGCATATACATGGCAAATAACAAAGATTCATTTTTTCCTATCCTGGAGCATTTCTATGTACCAGTACAATTGACTTGTTCAATGACCACATACACAAATCAACCAATAACCTGATTGTATCAACTCACCCGTGTAGATCGGACTATAAAGAGAATATCACCCTTCTGGAAGGAAAGGTCTTCATGTGACTTGCCAGGGAAGTTGTAGTTGGCAATAACCTCCATGCCCTGGGTCCATGGACCATTCGCCTGCAAACAGAAGTAAGGTACAGAGACTACTGGCAATCTGGGTGCCACCTACAGCCTACAAATTCATGGTTGTCTGCTCGACCCAGACTAAGAAATGTTACTGATGGTAGTCCTCATAGACAAGTAGTGCCTGTTCTATAATTCAGGATCAATATTTCATCTTTGCTATAATTTGAATTAAACGAAACTGTCAGAAAAGGTAAACACCTTAAACATTTTTGTCTTGTTCTTACAGGACTAGTGTAATGAGGTTACATTGGTCCTGTAAACTAGTTTTTAAATAGACAAAGACTGCACCTACACACATTTTCACAATTCCTAATTATTTTGACAAATTGCAATTCCAATGAATTTCCAGATCAGGATGAACAGCACCTCCTGTGATCAACATCATCAACTTGACAAAGAAGTGTGTGAATATATTCAACATAAGTTTCAATATCACCATTGCCACCTCATCATAATCACTGGCATGTTTTACCCAACATGAGGAGAGTTTACCTCCTTAGAAACCAAGAAACATAGTCCATAATTCAATCCCATGATCCCCAGATGTAACTCCGCTTCCCACTTTAGGACATGGAAATGACTGATATTGATATATATAATGTGACTAACATGTATAGCTTCAGAGATCCAGACAAGTTAACCATCAAACACATTTTGCACCAAGTTGTGTTTCCATGGAAACAGCAAAAAATGAAATTCTGATAAACTTTAAAATATGAAAAGACACATCTGTGGGTCATGATTAACTTGTGTATTAAGTTTGGTGATCCTAGCATGTATAGTTTCGGTGATATGTTCTAGACAAGATAACCATCAAACACATTTTGCACTAAGTCATGCTTCCACAGAAACACCCAAAACTAAAATGTTGATAAACTTGAAAATAGTAAAAGGCATATCTATGGGTAATGATTAACATGTGTGTGAAGTTTGGTGAACCTAGCGTGTAAAATTTAAAGATAAGCTTCAGACAAAGTTTTGGGGCAGAAGGATGGAAGGATAGAATGACAGAATGAATGCTATATATACCCATTACTTTATAAGCGGGGGAATACACATACTAAAAGAAGAATCTGTCAGTCATAACTATATGACCAGCTCAACAGAACTGCCAATTTACCACAATTATTTGTCAGCACCAGATAATGATCACAAGAATTGATGAAATATCACAAGAAGCTGTGACATAGGGTTGGGAATTGGTTAAAATCTCATAATTGATGATTGCATCATTACCAATGAGCAGCAACGAAAGTAATTGGTTAGCCTTATTTATCAAATTTTCCATGTTATGTTTGTTAATGCACACACAAAAATTAAGGAAAAACATGAAGTTCTGCATTTGCAAATTTCACATCTTTAAAGGATGACTAGTATGTTAGGAACATAAATTTCCAGGAGTCTTTAAGATAAATTCAATGATGACTTTGAACGAGCTTGTAGTGCTTATGAAATGTAAATATAATGACAGACAAAACAAACCTTGTGACAAATATTGTTAATGCAAATAAGTGTTCCAAAAATGTTTGGGTTTGATTATGAAAAAACATGATTGATTTCTTGGTCGTTTAGTCACTGCGACCAATCATCAATTATATCAGTTAATGGGACCACCACTTTGTGACATGGCTTCTAATTTGCCCGATGAGACAAGCGTTGTGGCCTACCTGTGCATTGTTGTCCAGATCCATGGGCATGTTTGTACGGGTGCTGCGGTCCAACCCCAAATCTCCGTGCAAAACCTGCACAGCCAGCGTAATGGTAACCAGGAACTAACCTAAACAAAACCATAATACATTATATCTATCCGTAAATCAAACACAGCGATGTCTGTGTTGGGATATCCTGTAGAAAACACACATTCGACTGGATAACAAAGTGAGTGGGATGCAGTCAGGTTACATGGGCATTGTTTCCACCATACTGCAGCAATACAAATGGCCAAGAATACATCGAACAGACACGACACAGATAGAAATGCACTAATTTCTTTTGCACTAGATTATTCATTGTTAATTAAATTTATTGAGAATGTTTTAAGTCTTCAGATTTTCCGCACTTGTTCAGACTTCAAAGCATTTCCAAAGAGTAAAGAATAACAAAAAACTAATGTTAATAAACAGTCCTTCAGCTGAACAAACCTTAATAGTTGTCATACTATGTCTTCACAAATCACTGGACATCGGTTTCAAAGGTTTGCTAATAATCTGGGGGTCGATGTTAAAGTAAAAAGCTCAGAGTTATATCCCTATATTTGCAATGGGACGCAACTCTAAACTCATTAAGAGACATTCGGGAAGCCAACATGTATTGCTTTAGGAACATGGGATCGATTTTCATGATATCTAATTCAGAACAAATAATTTTAATAGTGCATATTTATCATACGTACATATCCATGCTCTCAGCATGTTGAAATAGATTCATGTGTAAACATTTTTTACAATTTTTATCGTTTCAGTTTTTTAATATCTAATTTTTACAAAATTATGTGTGTAGGCAGTTGTCTTTTGGCCTATATGTCAGCAATGCCCATGCCCATGTGCTGAATCAAACCTGGGTCTTCAGCTGACGAGTGAACGCTATCACCACAAGGCTACCCAACTGCCACCAATTTTCTGGAAGGGTGGCACAGGACACCAGACAGATAATTTAGGCATCCCTTTGTGAAAATAAGCGTGCCCATATCTTTTGATGATGCAATTAAACTTAAAACATCACAACAAATATTTCAATTTCAATTTATTGTTAATACATAAGTAAACATAATGTACACCTGTAAACTTGAGCGTTGGATTTCCTTAGCACTATCATGACTGTGAGAACAGTTCGACTTCAGTTGTCCTAGACCCATAAACTAACCCTCAAACCATGTTACTGTCCAATATGGGATTTTCTGTTATGGCATTCACAATTCATGTTAAGATTGGAGTGCCACAAATACATTGTTTGATGGATGGCAAAAATAGGTTTTGAATCATTTGACTTGGCCTAACTTATGACTCTTTCTATTAAATGAATCATACTCATAGTGAGCATTATTTGTATAATTTTAGGCATGCCACCAGGCCAGGGTGAAATATGTTATTTGTGCCATTTCAATTTTCACCGTGCCTAGGCACACAAATTAAGCATTATTTTGATCGCTGCATGATCTGTTTAGCATATCAATAACATTGTAAATTGTGTCTTAAGCATAAGACTTCAGATGCAACATAAACAAAATCTGTAACCATGACAACACTGTCCTATCTGTAATTACCTATTGTCAATGTTTACTCCTAATAATATCATGGTAACCCACCATTCACCAAAAGGTGTTAACCATTTTGTTCCTGATCATGGTGACTGTAGTCTTAAACAGATCAGAATACATTGCTGAACTTCCCCTTTCAAACACAGGAACCATACTGTTTGTCAGCTGATTGACACTGGCCCTTACCAATTCAAGTCATCATGGTCTTTAATTTGACTGCAAAGTGCAATCATTAAATGACAATAGCACAGAACATAATAAAGGATTGCATAATTTTCCTCCAGGAGGAAGTATTGATATGATTAAATGTCATGTATTTTTGGACTGTGACTTGTATAATTGGTAGATGTATAGTAACAGGTTTGATTTTAACTTGTGGGAAGCTTGAAACGAACCAGCTGGTCTTAATTGCCCATCTCAGATGTATGTCATATGATTGAACACTACCATGATTATTGAACACTAGAAACGATGAACCTACACAGACATGCACTGCAGTGTCTGTAGTGTATCACCCCTATCTTCATATTATCTTGAAATTATAAAATGTCCAGGAGTCTGTTTTACAAAGCAATCATAAACCTACAAATGTATATCGGTTTAAATATAGGAACTACAACAGTAATGGTGCTACGACCACTTTCATAAACAGTTCCCTAGGTCCATTCCCTACCACAGTTTGGGTTCACATGGCCACTAGACAAAGCCCTCAGATGACACTCTTTGCTTAAAAAATTCTCTGAGAAACCAGGCAGCGGGAGAGGATGACAGAAATGGCTGCATCGTGAACATCATGATCACTTCAGGAACTACAGTGGTTTATGTGTTGTTAACGTAAACGAATTGAAACAGTGTCATAGTCAAGCCACAAGTTCATACTCATAGCAAGAGCTTGGTAGCCTGGTAACATTTTGTTCAGTTAAGCCAAGTCCTGATGCTATTGGTCGAAGGATACACATACTAACATAATAGGCCTAATTTAGCTATTTAAAACATGAACAAGTGCAAACTATTATTGAAAGAACAAACCAGATATTTATGATCAAGGGTGAGTGCATGGTGTATGCATGACACTTACAATTCACAAAGAGTGAGTGAGTGAGTGAGTTGAGTTTTATGTCGCACTCAGCAATATTCCAGCTATATTATTATATGGTGGTGATCTGTAAATAATTGAGTCTGGACCAGACAATCCAGTGATCAACAGTATGAGCATCATCGCCCTTACAACAAGCATGGGTTACTGAAGATCAATATTCTAGCCGAAACCTTCACGGGCTAATTCACAAAGAAACACTATAAAATCTTACAGATCCCACAAATAACAAAACCATACCATGCTACATCAGGTATATACCACAGAGACACATTACTTAATTACTGTATTATTTCTGCATTTGTCCAAGTCATAATTGTTGGCATAATAAGGGAAATAAAACAACAAATGGAAACAAAGAATTAAACTGAAATATTTTGCCTCACAAAATTATATATTTGAGATACAAAAGGCCTGGAGATAGGAGTCCAATGCTAAGTGACAAAGCGAAAATTCACAACAGAAATACAGGTGATGTTGACATTGGCCTGAAACTAAACCTACAGTCCCGTGTGACTGTGTCAGTGCCTCTTTCAGTGATTGCTAGTCCCATTGAGACTTGAGGGTGGAGCAGGTCCACAGCCACTAAGGACCACTCAAGTCATTCTAAACTCATCAATTTCACAAGTGAACTGTGACGAGAGCAAGTGTAATCAGGTCAGTGGTATGACATTGTGTATCCTGACTGGGACAGGATACTTGATAGCGCCATGCTTCAGCAGAGGGCGAGTATCTCTACTAAATACATCATGGACCAGGGATTTACAGTGAAACAAATTCCTTGGCACGAATATTTTGATAGAAATTGTGAAACTGTTAAGATTGGACTTACCTGACGTCCTCACTTCATAGATTCAAACTAATTGGAAAGTTGAAAATTTAAACACAGGATTTTTACCATGTTTACCGTCATTTGATACAGGAAAGAGGCCGAATTTCAGTCTCTAAGTACGTCTGAACAAATTCGTAAAGATAACGACCTGGCTCAGTTTAATTACAACTTTAAGATATGCTACATTTCATTACAAACTTTAAAAGATGTTTTCAAAAATGCTTTAACTTCCTGATTTCAAAATGCTAACCTTTATAATCAAAGACTTACCACATGCAGTAAAACACATATGTACACAATTCATATTTCCATAGTTTTCTATTTTTGGTTAATAAGCTGAACATGTTCCAGGTGTTAATTTATTTATCATGATCAGACTCAGAGACCATATACCGATATATGGTCTCTGTCATGATGGATTCACCATATATGTAAGTTAATGCTGTAGGGACATAATACATCATCTGGATGTAACTCCTTCTTCTGAAACAATACAGTGCGGTGGGATAGCCTAGAGACTATTTAAGTGAGCGAGTGAGTTTAGTTTTACATCGCTTTTAGCAATATTCCCGCAATATCATGGCAGGGGGCATCAGAAATGGAGAGGTTATTTGAAGCGAATGCTCATCACACCAAAGACCCAGGTTTGATTCCCCACATGGGTACAATGTGTGAAGTAGTGGTAATCCGATTAATTGAAATAATTGAAGATTGATTGCAGTGACCAAACGACCAAGCAATCGATCACATTTTGTCATATTCGAACATAAACGATTTTGGAACTACTGTTTTAGTCTTTGAAATACTTGACAATGGAACATATTGTTGAAGTTGTCAGGGCCTGAAAACGTGTTTAATTCTTAGAAAACTCACTTCACTAACTGAAAAGCCATGACTGAATATTTCTTGAAGACTCCGGGAAGTTTATGTTCATGATATATTAGTCATCACTTTAAAGTAGCAAGTTGCATCATGTTATACATATCTGCAATAACAACCTGGATAGGAAAACCTGAAAAATGACGCTAACCAATTTTTTTCAATGATTGTTCGTTGGTAATGAAGCAATCATCAATTGTGAGATTTCAACCAATTCCCAACACTAGTGTGAAGCCCATTTCTGGTGACACTACCACTCTGGGCAGACTCTCCACAAGACCATGGAGGCCCTCACATATTAATGATATCAACGACACCCAAATATGATCTAGCAACGTCAAGCTGGAGCATGAATCCATGTGTTCATTATGATGATCATATTCATTCTTATCAGCATGAAGTTTAACCTTTGTATTGTCTGTGCTGGAAAATTCTGGCATAAATTTTGAAAACACACAATACACACATAACTATTACAAATCCTTTATCATCAGTGATTGAACATGGCAAAATTCAAGTTAGCAGTTTTCCAGTTACACCACAACAGTGTTAAGTGAGTCACAGACAAACCAGAGACGGAAAGAGTGATTCGCTTCTAGGGTCATGATGACATGTAATCCCTCCACATCAAAGAGCCTGACTTCCCCATCTAAATAAGTCACTATTACACAAGCGTGAGGTAGTCAAGCCAGTCAAGGACAAATACTAACCATT